CCAGCTTCTATTGATCTGGTGCTGAGTGCTTGTTCCTGTGCTGCTAGGATTAGTGCCTCAGTGCTGTTTTCCAGTCCTGCTCAGTGCTGTTTTCCAGTGACTTATGGCAGAAATGTAAGCATTGTATGGGAAACAGAGTTGCTTGTCTTGGTACGTTGCACATTTTTGAAATAAAACAAAATAAAACAAGATATGACACAAGATATAGAACAGGATATAAACAAGATACAGGAAGTCAAGCTGAATATGCATCAAGAGTCATCCTTAAGTAAATGCTCTTAGGGTGCATGGATGGATTGCATTTCTGATCCACAAGAGTGCCCAGTATCCCCAGTTGCGCCAACGTATCTGATATTCCTTTCGGGATTAGAATATTGCGTTACCTCCCCAGGCCTAAATGGTCTACGGCAGTTCAATTAGGTCCCTTCCACCCGCTACTTCACTTCTGTCTCGTTTTATGCGTTGGATAGGGGTACAGTATGTGATATTTATATACATGTACGGTTGCCTACTTGGGGGATAGTGCTTTTGGGCAGGGTAGTGTACCTAACCCGTTTCATTTCCAAGCTGTCCTAGGTTGTTATTGGCCATTCGTAAAATCTCAGTATCCAGTCTGCACATCCTGTCAGCCAGGGTTTTGGGCTAAGTCTTAGCAGGCGTATGAGTGCGTGCTATTGTCTCCGCAGAGGTATGGTGTGTCCATCTGGGTGTGCACCTGTCGGCTCAGGTCTATTCCTATCTGGATCGTACTGAGTGGGTTGCGGTCTCTCAGTGGCAAGTTGTCAGTTAATGATCCATGAGCCAGGTTGGCAGCGGTCGTAGTCTGGGTATGGTACAAAGTTGATCATCCCCGGTGGTATCGTATGTCTCGTACCTGTGGGGTGTTGGTGGATTGGGTGCTCTTGTCCGGGGGTACTTTTCTTCCCTCCCTCGTGAGTTGGATGACGAGGTTTTTGCGTAGTGTTGGCTGTATGTATGGGTTCCCTGGGCAACCATGTCGGTTGCTCATTGGCAGGTGGAGAGTCGGGGAGGTTGGCCCGTGGTGTCGGGGTTGTGTTCGGGGGGGGACTGGTAGGATTTTGAGCCACATCCATTATCTGCCGGTGGTACACCCCATGGAGAGGTTTGTCTTGCTAAGGAACCTTCTCTTTTTTTGCATCCTCTATCTGTTGAAGTCTCAGGCATTCCCTTAACAATTCATCTTTGGGAGCCATCTTCGTGTTGTACTTGTAGATACTCTGTGTTTCATCCAGGACTGTGGCCCCGACCTCCTTCCTTCTGGCTGGTGTACATATGTATATAGCTAAACATAAATAAAAATAATATATAATAATAATATATAATTAAAAAATTATATATATATATATATATATATATATATATATATATTTAAATTCTATGTATTTATTTATGAGATATTTCTACATAATTAAGTAATTGTATTAATTACCATTTGAGGGACCTGCCTGACAATCTAGGCAGAAAGTCCAGAGAATTTAGTGAGCAAGCCCTATATTTAACCCTGTAACTTTCTAAGTCACAATAGAACCTGCACATGGGGAGTATTGTTATACTTGGGAGACTTTACTGAATACAAATATTAGTGTATATTAGTGTACAATGATGATATCGTCAGTGAAAGGGCCATTTTTTGCATTTTTTACACACAAAAGGCACTTTCCCTGACAATATCATTGTTGTGATACATTTTACTGTTTTAAAACACTAATATTTGTATTCAGTGAAGTCTCCCAAGTTTAACAGTACCCCCATGCACCGGTTTTATGGTGTTTTCGAAAGTAACAGAGTCAAATATAAGGCTTACATTTCAGTTTTTGATGTATGAATAAGAATTACCTCCATGATGGCATACCATTTAAAAAAGTAGAAAACCCAAGGTATTGCAAGTTGGGTATGTCCAGTTTTTTTTTAGTAGCCACTTAGTCACAAACACTGGCCAAAATTAGCGTTCAAATTAGTTTTTTGCATTTTTCACAGACAAACAAATATGAATTCTAAATTTTTCCAGTGTTTGTGACTAATTGGCTGCTAAAAAAGCCTGGACATACCCCATGTGTAATACCTTGGGTTGTCTACGTTTGCAAATGGTATGCTATCATGGTGGTAATTCTCATTCCTGGGCTACCCTATGGTCTCAAGTCAACATAACCTGTCTGGCAAATTTCAGTTTGTATAAACTGAAAAATTTAATGTGACATATTTGACCCTCTAACGTTCCAAAACACCATGGAGGGTGCTGTTTTACTTGTGCAGTGAAAGCTAACAGTATCATGACATTCACAGTTAAAATGCCATGCAGAACTAAAAAAAAATTTTTTTTCTTAATTTCTCACATGTTTTATATTTTATTTATATTAAATTATGCTTATCTAAGTATTTGATTTGAAATGAAAGCCATGTTTTTCCTGAACACAATGAGATATATATATATATACATACATACGTGGTTGCACCTTATATGAAATAGATAAATTATGTTGTTCAGACATACAATCAAATTCCAGGTTTTGTTTACATTTTGTTTTTATCATCAGAACTAGTACAATTGCCTCCATCCTTAAGGGGTTAATAACAATACTTTTTTTTTAAAGACAATAAAACAAATAAATAAATATAAGAAGAAATAACTATACTATATAATGACTATACTATCTTGGACACTGGGGTAGACTACCCTAGTCCACATTGACTATACGATTATCAAGTCACTCTTCTAACTACATTGCTAATCTCGGTAGCACATTGGAATCTTCACAACTCTACCACTTGAAGAAATTTAATGTGAGATTGGTGTGACTCCACTGGAGGCAGCGCCGTATCCACACCAGATTATTGTCTCAAGGAACTTACACTTCTCATGACCAGGGATTCCACCAGCTGTGGTCCCAAATATTTAGCACCTAACTTTTTGGTGCCTTTTATTCTGGTGGGCAACAATCCTGCCTTCTGTGCAGACCACGTAGGTCCTTGTCCTTGAAAAATGCCCTAATACAGTAGCCAGTGTCTTCAATCTCTTTTTGTCATCCAACTTGACTCAGACACTTTGACTGGGTACTGGTCAGGCAATGGGCATGCAGAATGTTTTCTATTGTAAAAGAATCTGTAATTCCACTTTACCTCCTCAACCCTCCTCCGAATTTCCTCTGGAAGAATAGTGGAATTAGGCTGGAATGCCCCCACAGCAAGTATTAATATGTTGTCCTAACATCAGATGTTTAGGGTTACATCCTGTGGCTTTTTTGGGGGGGTTGCCATGTAGGCTACTAGTTCCAAGTAAGATTTTGGTT